ACACCAGGAGTTGACTTGTTTTTATGGTTTTGCAGTTTGTGGTTTGTTTTGTGTTATGTTGCATGAGATGTGTTGTCTTTGTACTGTATATTTGCCTATTCTTGTGTGCAGCACTTTGGTCTACTTCGGTCGTTGTAAAGTGCTTTATAAATAAAGTTTGTTGTTGTTGTTGTTGTTCATTCATGCTTCAGACGCGCTACGCTGAGGGGCTTCCCCCAAAGTGTCATTTGACGCAGTTGGAGTTCCCTCGATAGGGAACTACTTTATCTGTGCGTTTACTGAAAATAATTGCACACCTCTGAATGTTCATAGTATAGTTCAACGTAGTATAACTAGAGCTAAACCCCTGTACATTCTCAATAAGAACTTTATTAAATGTAGTCATGTAATCTATAATAAAGTGTAAGTAGTTTGTAATAAGTGAATATTGTAAAGGTGTTTTTGAAGTTTAATGGAAGCTCTTCCTGCTCTACATACTTGAGTTTTTCCAGTCTGTAGTTTGGATCGTCGAGTTTATCAGTGAGCAGCTTGTCTCCTGAATCTCCTGGGTGGTTGTAGCTCAGATCCAGCTCTCTCAGGTGTGAGGGGTTTGAACTCAGAGCTGAAGACACATGACCACAGCCTTCCTCTGTCACCATACAGCCAGACAATCTACAAAGACATACAGCAACAGTCCACATGACATTAGTTTGGCATTCACATCAATCTCTTTCACACAATGACCTGCGTAGTTTGTACTTTCAGCTGTTATTTTCTGTAGATTCTTAAAAGTAACAAAAACATTCATTATCATAGCATTAATTATGATCGTTGCTTTTCTCAAAAAAAGAAATCTGGGTGGGGGGTTCTGCGCTCCTGATGGTTTTTGGTTTGACGGTTGTCAGTGTAAAGTCACACTGCCAGAATTTCTTCTTATATTTACTTGTAATATGATCAAACATTTCAGATGTTGACCCAGGGGCAGAGGAATCTTTTCAAGGATTCAAAAATGTGTCTCTGACAGTCATATCGTGGCCAAAATCGTACAGTGTGACCCTGGATTTAGCAGCAGGGAACAGTAAAAGGTAAAGGGCACCTAAGTAGTAAGTTTAGGTATAGGGGTGAAACCCTGAAGTGACATTTTTAATTTAACTTAATTAGCTTATCAATGTCTACACTGCTTCAGTGTTTCTTTTTAACACTCTGAATGTTGATTATATAAACACTGAGCAGTGAACATTACTGGGGATTTTGATGCGTGTACTCATCCTGGAGAAGATCGATGTTAAAGTATGATTTTTGCATCAGAGGGCAGGTAGCAAGGCCAAGCACCAGTGATGATGTTAATTGGTGTGGTGATGAATATTGGTATTGAATGCATTATTTTTTGACTGCAAATGTCATGTCCATAATGCTGGAAATGATTTTGTCTCTTCTTCTGGCATTGTCTCAGATTTGTTGACAAATATGTAAAAATATATATTTTTGTATTAATTGTTTAATGGAAACTAGGGGTGTAATGATTCATCTACTACATCGATTTATATTCATACGATCCAACTACATCGATCTGTGCTCTGCTAGTTGGCCTTCCAGACGGCATATATTGATCTAAAATCGTTTAAAAGTTAATCAATCTATTGTATCGATACTAGGAAATAACGCATTGAATTTAAGCACGTCAGACTTTATATGGATGTTTTTTTCTTAGAACATTAGTTTTAATATATAGGCGTTAAACGTTACTCGATTCAGTCTGCCTATCTGTGACGTTATCGCCACGCACCAGCAGCAGCAGCAGCACAAAGACAACATAGCATGGCGAATGACAAGGAGAAGCCGATGAGCGAGAAATGATCAGTGTGTGAAAACACATTGGCTTTTGTAAAGACGGAGATGTTCTAAATGAGTCACTCGCTGTTTGTAGGAATCTAGACGAAACAAACTAGACGAAAATGTTAGATAGTGTCGATCTGGGAAGCGATCCAGTCAGAACTGATGTCCTGCATGTGTGGTAGATGCGCACATTTGTACTACTGTAACGTGCTGATCTACCCCGCAGTCTCATAAAACATTAAAATATGTCAGCGTCTGGGAGAATGAGTAGTAGAGTATGCATATAGGTCTGAATAAGAGTAACGATGCAAAAAATGATTTCGGTGCGCTCACACCCGACTGACCCAAACATCCAACCATGCACATAGACACCTATACAGCTCACGAGTAAGGAATTGAGTTCTCTTTCGTGTCAGAATGGACAAATACACACAACACTAAATGTGCGTTTTAAAGAAAGTGCATCAGTGCAATTGTTGTCACGTTACGCTAAATAGAACCCAAGCGCAGTCAGAAACTTTCTCAAAACATAATTTATTTATAACCGGAAAACAAAGACCCACGATGGGGCAAACAAACAGAAACTATAAGACAATAACAGACTTGACAACATAACTGGAACATTCACAGACAGATCACAGTACTCACAGAACCGACTGTTAACAAGACGAACCAGCACTGAGGAACAAACACTGAAAGCTTACATAGAACACAATCACAAAAGGTACAGGTGACACTGATGAACATCAATACTAACGAAGGAACAAGGGGTGTGGTAAGGACACGTGATCACAATCACAGGTGACACGGATACAACATAAACTAACAGGGAAACGAGGTAACACAAGACAATGCAAACACATAGCCCAAAACAACCGGCCATGTGCTTGCACAAAAAACAAGAGACAAATACATGACATAACCTCCTCCTTACGGAGCGGCGACCAGACGCTCCACATGGTACATAACAGACTGTAAACTAGACATAAACCAACAAAACATAACGACCATCAACAGTGGCAAACAAGAAAACATAACTGTAGGATCGGGATGACACAATAAAAATAACACATGAGGGAGGGGGGGTGGGGGAACAAAAGAGTTCGTAGGTGGAGGTCCCGAGTAGGTAGGTGGAGGTCCAGAGTGGGTGGGTGGAACAAAAGTCCTGGATTCACTGGACATGGGCACTGATTGAGGACACGAAAACCGGGCAGTTCTGGGTGGAGACACATGAGGTACAGTCTTGGGAGGAACATGTCGGAACAGGGGTAATCGGGGAAAAAACAGGGGACACAACCGATGTTGCTGCAGCAAGCAGAGGACCCGAAACAGAATCCAAAACATGGGGTGTTGCCTCTGGCAACGGAGCTGGGACAGGGGATACCACAGATGGCTCAGCATGGACAGTCCTATTCTCCTTAGCTGGGACAGAACTGTTCTTGGTCACTCTCCCATCCACCTCAGCATGGACAGGACTTATAGATGGGACATGGCTGGACATGGTCACTCTCTCATCTACCTCAGCATGGGCCAGACTGACAGAAGCAACCTGCAGAGTCGGCACAGAGCCAGGAAGGGACTGAGATGGTGATCCTGACGATCTCTTCCTCCTCCTCTTTGACCGCGTCCAGGAGCCATAGCCGGATCTAGGATCCCTGAATGTCCGTAGCAAAAGCTGAAGGACCTTTCATAGACGTCGAAGTGGTGAGAAAGTGGTTGCCAAGCATTGTCGTGGCTAGGACGTGACTCTCCGGTATAACTAGCAATGCAGAAATTGACAATGTCCTCGTGGGGTCCTGCCGCTCCTTTTGACACACATGGTCCACTACCTCTCGAAACAGGCGTCGGATCAGCCCCTGCCGTTCAGCCAGCGGAGGAGGTACATTGAGCCCTGCGATGAAATAAGAGTTTAGGAGGACCTCCAGCGTAAAATTTCTCTTCTCCTCTAGGCCCTGGGCAAATCTCTCCAGGGATCTCTCTCCCCAGGGAGGAAACGGAATCTTGCCCCTCCTCATATCCTCGATGGTCGACTGCCACCATCGCTCCTGGTCACCCAACTGGCTACTGGCGGAACAAGACATAGCCTATTGTCTGCTGGGTTAAAAAATTGGCTGGTTCATTCTGTCACGTTACGCTAAATAGAACCCAAGCGCAGACAGAAACTTTTTCAAAACACCGTTTATTTATAACCGGAAAACAAAGACCCATGATGGGTCAAACAAACAGAAACTATAAGACAATAACAGACTTGACAATATAACTGGAACATTCACAGACAGATCATAGTACTCACAGAACCGACTGTTAACAAGACGAACCAGCACTGAGGAACAAACACTGAAAGCTTACATAGAACACAATCACAAAAGGTACAGGTGACACTGATGAACATCAATACTAATGAGGGAACAAGGGGTGTGGTAAGGACACGTGATCACAATCACAGGTGACACGGATACAACATAAACTAACAAGGAAACGAGCTAACACAAGACAATGCAAACACATAGCCCAAAACAACCGGCCATATGCTTGCACAAAAAACAAGAGACAAATACGTGACAATTGTATCCGCATGTCATTGGACATGATGTGGCAGTGACAACAAACGCGGCCTATGTCCTTAATATTCAAGCGACAAAAGAAATAGAGAAAAGCATTCACTGTTTGTTAATAGCTTTAATAAGGATTAAATTCATAAAAATAAATGTGTCTACTTGAAAGAATAAAAGAATGATGTATGGAAGTATTTATAAAGAATGCATATATCATTAATTGAAAAGAAGACTGTTCTACTTTAGGAAAAGTGGTTTTATTTAATTCTAAGCTATTTTTCATGTCACAGTAGGTAAATCTATAAATGTATTGTATGTTCAAACTTAAAAATCATTAATATTAATAGGTTCATAGATGTTTTCTCCGGGAATGTGTTTGGAAATTTTAGAGAAATTCTAAATTAACCAGGTTAATAATATTAATAACCTTATAATAAATAAATAAATTCAGGTATTTATTTCAGTCACACTGGTTGATTTTTTGGGCTAAAATGTTACTGAATCGATTTCAAGTCACTGAATCGTTTCGGATCGTATCGTTCTAAATGAACCAATATCGTCCTTGAATCGTGATACGAATCGAATCGTTGTTAAAACGAATTGTTACACCCCTAATGGAAACCCATTTACCTCAGTATCTGTAGCTGACAGTTTGGACTCTTCAGTCCATCAGAAAGCAGCTTCACTCCTGAATCCTGCAGGTCATTGTCACTCAGGTCCAGCTCTCTCAGGACGGTGTTTGAGGATTGAAGAACTGATGATAAACTCTCACAAGTTTGAACAGTGAGTTTACAGTGATGTAACCTGTGTGGCGAACAAAATAAACAGCAATATTAGTTGGCTTAATGTTTTTAGTAAATATATATTACCTTCAGTTATTTTCATGATTAAGCATGTTAAAATGTTGTGGCGAGGGGTGCGTAGTTTGGCGAGATCTGCAGCTGGAGAGCGGGGGCGGAGCCAGGCGGTGAGTAAGCGGGTCAAGTTCAAATGACGAACACCTGTCTGTGATTGCAGTAATTGGCGTGAGGAGACCGCATATAAGCAGCCCGGGCAGACAGCACCATTGAGAGAGACTGAAAGCTCGTGCACGGACCGACCAGACACGACACGACAAGTCGCGAAATTGAGTATTCATTGAGACTGAGCCGAACGCGAAGCTGTAGCCAGCGGGAAGAGTTCTATTGCATATTTACTTTCTGTTTATGATTTGTTTCTGAGTTAAGTTATTGTGAGCGCCGAGTGCGCTGTGGGGAGAGTAAAAATAAAAGTGCACGAGCCCCAGATATCGCCGACCCTGTGTCTCCTTCCATCACCCACACCCACACAGGAGATTTTTTTTCTCCTGTTGTAATGTGCGTTGACCAAGCGCATGCGATCGGTTGTTTGTGTTTGTAGCTCCGGAGAATTTCTTCACTAATCCTTGATTTTCTTCTTTACCACTTATTTATAAACAAGCACTTTCTATTTTTATATCATGTGAACTTATCCTCGATAGTATTCCTTATAAAAAACAATTGGATTGCTTTGCTATCGCTACTTATATCCGACCTTCCGAATCCCGGCTACTAGCCTTTAGCCCGCTAGCATTCCACGCGTGCCCTCTCGCCTACTGGCCGTCTCATTTTACACCCGTTTCACTGAATCCTGGTTATTTCAGTCCTAAATTAGTAGTGATAGTTGTAGTATCACTACTAATAAGTCCTAAATTAGTGGTGATAGTTGTAGTATCACTACTAATTTACTGTTTATCTGTTATAATGGCGAACATATCAGATGCGTGTCTAACAATATCTCTGAGTGCAGGTGAGGACACGTTCGAGCTCTTCACGGTGAAGCAGGAGCTGGAATACGTCGAGAAACAGATCCGTGGTCTGCTGGTGAAGCAAGCCGAGCTGTTGGATCGGCGCTCAACGCTTGAAGCATCACGCGCCGACGCTCACAAATCAGTGGTTAGTGACGTTAACTCTTTGAGTCCGACTTCGTCTACTCCGTATGTTACTCTGCCCAGGACGCGATCATCTCGGGCTTCATTCACTCCGGCACCGAAACAGCAACATGGACCATGGATCACACAGCGGAAGACACGAGCCAGGACCAGAGCTCTTCGCCCCTCCCGGTCTTCGAGATCTCCACCCGGAACCGCTTCTCCCCTCTTCGCGAGCCGGAACGCGACGACGCCGTGATCATCGGCACATCCATGGTCCGTCATGTCCGCGCTACTACTTCGGGGAAAGGTAAGGTGCGCACTCACTGCTTTCCTGGTGCTCGTGTTCTTGATGTCGCTGCACAGGTTCCCGAGATCCTGAACGGGGACGAGCGCGTCGGAGCTGTTGTGCTGCACGCGGGAGCGAACGACATCAGGCTGCGGCAGACGGAGGTTCTGAAGAAGGACTACAGGAGACTGATCGAGACGGTACGCAGCACAGCGCCTAAAGCAGCGATCATCGTGTCTGGACCGCTTCCCACGTACAGACAAGGACAGGAAAGGTTCAGTAGACTATTTGCATTAAATGAATGGTTAATGTCATTGTGTAATGAACAGAAGCTGCTCTTTGTAAATAATTGGCATTTGTTTTGGGAGAGACCCAGGATGTATCGTGCAGACGGACTCCATCCCAGCAGAATCGGAGCGGCTGTGCTGTCGGACAACATCTCCAAGACGTTATGCACCAGATGACCAGTAAGTCAAAGTACAAATCACAGCCTTTGTGGTCCAAACTTAACTAATAAGCATAGTGTGGAACATTATATAGAAACTGTGTCTATTCCTCGTTTAGTGAAGCCAAATAATAAATCTAGTGCAGGATCTAGCAAAAATCTTATTGTAATCAAACCAGAAAATCTAAATATCAGTGAACAAAAACAATTTCTAAAGCTAGGTCTTCTAAACATTAGATCGCTCACACCTAAGGCGGTTATTGTAAATGAATTGGTCACAGATAATAACTTCGATGTTTTGTGCCTTACTGAAACCTGGCTTAAACCAAATGAGTATTTCAGTCTAAACGAATCTACTCCGGCAGGATACTGTTATAAACATGAGCCTCGTCTGATCGGTCGTGGCGGCGGTGTTGCAACAATCTATAAAGATATTTTTAATATTACTCAGAAAACAGGTCACAGGTTTAATTCATTTGAAGTACTTGTGCTAAATGTTACGCTCTTAGATGTAAGAAGGAAATCCATATTATCTCTAGCCCTGGCTACTGTATATAGACCTCCAGGGCCATATGCTGAATTCCTAAAAGAGTTCGCAGACTTTCTGTCAGATCTATTGGTGAATGTCGATAAAGCAATAATTGCTGGAGATTTTAACATACACGTAGATAATACAAATGATGCTTTAGGGGCTGCGTTTACAGACTTATTAAACTCCTTTGGGGTCAAACAAAACGTCAGTGGTCCCACTCACCGTCTAAATCGTACACTAGATTTAATTATATCATATGGAACCGATCCAACTGATATAGATATTATACCGCAAAGCGATGATGTCACTGATCATTACATGGTGACTTGCATAATACGTACTGCTGAAATATGTCATGTTGCACCACGTTATAGACCAGGCAGAACAATCCTTCCAACCACTATAGATGGATTTTCAAATAGCTTACCTGATCTATCTAAGCTGCAAAGTGAACCCAAACAAACAGATGAATTAGAGGAAATGACTAGCAGTTTAAGCACCATTCTTACTAGTACATTAGATATTGTTGCACTAATTAGATTAAAAAAGGTTAGAGAGAAAATTAAAGCACCATGGTACAACAGTGCTACGCATGCTATCAAGAGAGAAACTCGCAACTTAGAGCGTAAATGGAAACAAACTAATTTAGAGGTCTTTAGAATCGCGTGGAAAGACAGTATGTCACGTTATAAAAAGACACTTAAAACAGCCAGGGCTGAGCATCTCCGCAAACTAATCGAAAATAACCAAAATAATCCAAGGTTTTTATTTAACACCGTGGCTAGACTAACAAATAAACAGACATCACCAGAGCAAAATATACCGTTACAGTTTAGTAGTGATGATTATATGAATTACTTCAATGAGAAAATAGAAAGCATCCGAAACACAATTATAAATGGTGTATAAATGTACTCTATGGTGTCTTATGATTCAGCTTCAATTATGGCCCCTCTAGAACAACTAAACCGCTTTACAACGATAGGACAGGAGGAGCTAAATAAACTTATCATTGCTTCTAAACCAACAACTTGTTTATTAGATCCAATACCCACTAAACTACGGAAAGAACTATTACCTGTAGTGGAAGAGCCTCTCCTCAATATTATTAACTCGTCTTTATCTTTAGGTCATGTTCCAAAAATATTCAAGCTGGCAGTAATAAAACCTCTCATTAAGAAACCGCAATTAGATACAAATAACTTAGCAAATTACAGACCAATTTCAAATCTTCCATTTATGTCCAAAATACTAGAAAAAGTTGTGTCCGCTCAATTGTGCTCTTTTTTGAAAGAAAATGATATCTATGAAAAATTCCAGTCAGGATTCAGACCGCATCATAGTACAGAAACTGCGCTAGTTAAAATTACAAATGATTTACTTTTAGCTTCTGACCAAGGCCGTATCTCAATACTAGTCCTACTTGATCTTAGCACTGCGTTCGACACTATAGATCATAAAATACTCTTGGATCGACTACAAAACTACACTGGTGTTCAGGGACAGGCATTAAGCTGGTTTAGATCGTACCTATCGGACCGTTATCATTTTGTCTGTTTAAATGGGGAAAAATCAAAGATAACGTCAGTAGACTATGGAGTACCGCAAGGATCGGTTTTAGGCCCTCTGCTATTCTCAATATATATGCTGCCACTTGGTAATATTATAAGAAAACATGGAATTAATTTCCACTGTTACGCTGACGACACTCAATTATATATTTCATCGCGACCAGATGAAAACACTAACTCCTCTAAAATGACAGAGTGTCTCAAATATATAAAATACTGGATGACGCGTAATTTCCTGCTATTAAATTCAGATTAAACGGAGGTATTACTTATTGGTCCAAAAAACTACTCACAAAACCTCTCACAATACAACTTTAATATAGACGGATGTCCTGTTACTTTATCCACTACAGTAAAAGACCTGGGTGTTATACTAGACCGCAACTTGTCTTTCGAAAATCATATTTCATATGTAACAAGAACAGCCTTTTTCCACCTTAGAAACATTGCTAAGCTACGTAACATGCTATCTGTTTCTGATGCAGAAAAATTAGTTCACGCATTCATGACCTCGAGACTAGATTACTGTAATGCTTTATTAGCCGGTTGTCCTGCATCCTCAATAAACAAGCTACAGTTAGTACAAAATGCAGCTGCTAGAGTTCTTACTAGGTCAAGAAAATATGATCATATAACACCGATTTTATCATCTCTACACTGGTTACCTATTAAGTTCCGTATCAACTACAAAATACTGCTACTGACCTATAAAGCCCTAAATGGTTTAGCTCCTATGTACTTAACGGACCTTCTTTCGCCCTACAATCCACTGCGTTCCTTAAGATCACTAAATTCAAGGCTTCTGGTCATTCCTAGGATATCGAAGTCCAGTAAAGGAGGGAGGGCGTTCTCGCATTTAGCTCCAAAACTCTGGAATAGCCTTCCCGATACGGTCCGAGGCTCTGACTCGCTGACAGTTTAAAACTAGATTAAAGACGCATCTCTTTAGTCAAGCATTCACATAATGCTTACCTTTTAGTCCTCTGTTATGCCATACGGAACCGTTTGCCACTGAAACGCATTTCCGCGACAGTGGGCCT